ATATATTTTTAATGCCCCAATTTAGCAACTTAATGGGAAAAAGTTATTTAGGTAAAAACTATGATTTTGATTAAAACTCTTTATAATGATTTAGGATGCTAAAAATTTCTTTTATCTACCTGAGTTTAAAGAAGTATTTATCCTTGCTTTAAAATCCTTGCTTTGGAAAAATTTGTATATTTTCATGCAAAAGGACTTCTTAGGCCCATATCACACGCCGTTTGTTTCACACGAACAACTGTTTCTGATAATTTTTCTGCCTGGTTTAGTATTGAAAGAAAGATGTGCGACTTTTTCCTGCCTTTCCAAAAAAATTGCAAGTTGTTCGTTTTCAACCAATCAGCTTCGAATGCTATCAGCTTGTTTGTAATGACGAACCCAGTTTCTTCTGTGTTAACCCCAAAGCATCTATGGTGTTTGGCTATTGTGACAAAGCAGAAAAATTGTTCCAAACAGTTGTTCTTCCGAAACAAAATGACGTGTGATAGCAGCCTTAAGCAAGAAACTTGCTACCTGGAATTTTTCATATGCATAATGTGAAGACAAGTTGATTTCCGTTAAAGAGCTCTCTATGCAGACAACTGTTCTGTTTTGCTGTCGGTTTGCATGCGCTTTGCAATTAATCAGAACCCAGTCTTTCTCAGGTTATACAAATCCATTTCCATTAAAGAGCTCTCTATGAAGACAACTCTTCTGCTAGGCTGATGGTTTTCATGTGCCCTGCAATTAATCAAAACCCAAACTTCCTCAAAGGTAGATAGCCCAGTCAAAACTATCATACTTTAATTAAAATTCCAAATCAGATCCACATTCATCTTCTAAATTATTATCTTATTATTTCTTTATTCCTAAAATAAATGTAACAGAGTTTCATCTGTTCAGGCTATGTTGAGTAATATTTAGAGCGTGGCTGATTGTGAGCTACCAGTACATCACTGTAATGTCCTTGATCACGAGAGAGGGGTTAATGGGAGAAGAAATTTCTTGGGTGAAAGAGCAATGCCATGGGTTATTTTAATGGAGATGTGTAGGAGTGAAAGCAAAGAGATAAGAGTCCAACACTTTCTGACCACAATCCTGCCGACAGAAAACAAAAAATTTACCCAGTTTCATAAATTCATTGCACTTCCTGGAGAATAAGTCTGATATGTAGATGGGGCTTTTCTGCCATCTCAACTTTCATCAAAGTTCTTGTTTCCCAGAGAAAGACAGACATGTATTCAGGAGTTAGAAATGGTTTTTAATGCTGACTTATTGTTAAAATACATTTTTTGAAAATCCAAAGAGTTTTCTAATGAAATTGTGGTTTACTTAAAAAAAAGAAATGCTTGAACCCTCTCATTTAAGGAATGGTGCACTACAGTTAAGATTTATCTAAACAAAGTACCAGAGCAGGGCTTCAGTGCAATTTAAGCTCTGTTTCCCTATTACATAAACTGCTTTCATCAAGTCTTTAGCCATTTTTAAAGGTATTTGATAGTACTTCATTTATTATATTTATAATTATCATCAGTGAGATCTCTTAATAAGAACAGGTAATCAAATTACGATGATACATTTTTTTAAGCAAGTATTTAGAAGCAAAAAATTCCCATGAGTTTATGACAGTGTATGATTTAGAAAAAGGAATGGCAATTGACTCATAATGTTTGTAATAATAATATAATAATGATAAGAAGCAATATTTGCATTTGAATTTCTGATAATTAAAATTATTTAGAATGACAATATCGTGTAACAGCAATATCTCTAAGGGTAAATCAAGTAAAAGTAAAATTTTAATTACATTTAAAGTCTTGCTGCTTTCATAAAGATTAACAGAAGATTGAGAATGAACATGCCATTGGAAGTTGCAGAAAAAATAAATAAATAAATAAATAAATAAATATAAATAAAAATAAAAATAAATAAACAAAATTGAGAAAAATAAATTGCATGTGATTAATTATTTATATGGAGGCCCGGTGGCACAATGGCTAGCGCAGCAGCACCACAGGTCCGGGGTTTGATCCCCGGGCTGGGCAAGGTCGACTCAGCCTTTCATCCATTGATTTCCATCCTTTGGGTCAATAAAATGAGTACCAAGTTCACTTGGGGAGTAAACACTGGGGGTCTTGCGAAAAACTGATCACTTGTTCAGAGCATATGCTTATGCACCCCGGAGCCCACGGTCAAGATAGCAGATTTCGGGACACTACGGCTGTTGTGCCACTGAGTTTAGTTTAGTTTTTTATTTATATGCTTTACCTGTTTGAGATATTCCAAAGTTCTCTCTTTCTTTTTATAATGAGAATTTGGGGTGTATTCTATCATTTAATTAGAATGCTGTGTGCTGATGGGATAACAGAGTAAACAAAGCATATGTAACAAAAATCGAAAACCAAAAATCAGAACTACACTGAGACTACCCGCCCACGGTTGTTCTGTGCAGGCTCGTAATATACGTATATAAACCTTAATAATAATTAGACACAGTGAGTCTATTATTAGAGAATCTGTTTATACTTTCAATATTTATAGAAAAAGAAATAAATTTTATCTACTTGAATTCTGCACATGCTTTTTGACGAATAACAGTTTTATTAACACTTGACATCAGCAGCTTCACAGTTTCCTTGAATTAAAGCAGGAATTCTGTACTATTATATTAATCAATAAACAGAAAAAAATACAATATATGATTCAATTAATACATTCAATTCATAGAATGCTTATATCTTTAAGCAAATACGGATCAGAATGTGCATGGCAACGTCAAAAACTGATGCCATCCACAAAAACGTATACATAAAACAAAGTCTTGTGTTCACTCAACAAAGTTATTCATAAAACAAAGTCTCGTGGATATCTCCCGAAGTTTATTGATGGCATTACGTATATTTCCTGTTTTTGATATATATGTGATAATTCGCTTCTACAACTCATCTGCCTTTTCCTGAATCTGGCAACAGCTACAGCAGCGAGATACTTCTTCAAGTTGCATGAGGAAATGGAAAGAGAATTCCATTCAGATGAGGTTATGACGTGGCGCTGGATGTAACTGAACTATACCGCTCGACAATGTTGCTTGATGATGTAATTCCGTTTCATGATGAATCGAACTTTTTATCTTACTTCCATTCACTCTGTACATACCATAATCATGTTTATTCTTTCATCATTAAATACTTTTAAAATGCCACTGCCTTCCTCTATTTTAATCCTAACCTCATTCCACATATATTTTATATTTAACTACAGGAAGGCTTGCAACAACATGAGGAAATCATATAAAACAACAGAAACAGGATTTTTCTACTTTTATTGCAAAGAGGTTCTGAAAGAAATCTGGAGGTAATTAGAAAGTCAGAAATAGTGTTTAAAGGTTGAAGAGATTGATAAATGAAAATGATGAGGAAAATAATAAAAAAATTATTAGAATTATATGGTTTCTGTAATACATTTGAAAGTCTGATACAACATTTCCTCTGTAGTATGCTGAGAAAGCATTAAAGAAGTTTGTCTTTGTGTTCTTTGAAGTCTTGAGCAATAAAAATTGCTTGAGCTGGAGAAATATCATAGTAAGCTCATACAAAAATATGTGCAGGCCCAGAGCATGCTAAATACCATGCAAATGAAATGTATGATCTCCATATTTTTATGAAAGCCTGTATTGAAATAAGCTTTACTTTTATTGACTACTACCATGATCATACATTTCCTGTATTCAAACTTACTGAAGTATTTTTTAATTATCTCGTATAACTTTAATCGAACCCCACTAAAGGCTTTAATTAAAAATGCTTTGTTTTGCTATGTTTGTGTCTACCACGTTTACTGAAATGTCTGCCCTTATGGGATAATAACCTTCATTTGCAGCCCTTTCTTTATATAGTATCAACTTGTGCAAATCCTACATAAGTTGAGAGCTGCTACCTTAATATATAAACATTTTATTTTTCTGTCAGTATTGTTTCCTTGACAAAAACGGGTAACAGTGCTAGTATTTTTATGAATTAATTTCCTTGTTTATAATCAATAGCGTTAATAGTTCTTATTTTCTTAGCATATTAGAGATTTAAAAATACTGCTTATTTAGGTATAATAATTTTTTTAATATATTATATTTATTTACAAATAAAGTATAAAATTTGCTTTATTTCTAGTGGTGATGGAACAATACGTAAAACTGCTGAAATATGGAAGAAATGGAATGCAGCTAATGGAAATAATTTACATGGGTAAGTATAAATTTTACAGAAATTTATATAAAATCCTGTATTTAATTGCTACAGTTCAATGAATACAAAGTTGTGCAAGTTTAATTTTCATACTAATTTCTTTTTAATGGCCAGAAATCTGGCCAATATGGTAATTTTGTAGAAGAGTAAATGTCAAGAATATTGGCTAACTAAATTTGATGTATGAATACCAAGATGTTTTCTGTGTACATATATATATGTGTGTGAGTATGAAGTTAGATATGAATGTATGATATGAAGTTAGACATATATGTATGTAATGAAGTTAGAAGTTGAAGATATATTTATGCTGTGATATTTTCACAAAAGTGCACAGTTTTGAATCATGATCTTTTAGCTTGCAGTTACGTATTCTGAGGCGTGGGCTTGAAATGCTAGCTCCAAGTGGTCGAATTGTATATTCAACATGTTCTTTAAATCCCATTGAGAATGAAGCTGTAATTTCTACAATTTTGCAGGAAGCTAAAGGTAAGAATCTATAACCTTTTATAATCTATATAATTCAATCAATGTTTTGCATTGCAATTAACATACCTAGTTTAGCTATATAATTCATGAAGTATTTCTCAAATTATTTTGGTTTTTTCCGTTTAAAATTATATTTAAATTTCAAATAAATAAATATGATAGTTAATATATAAATGAGTGCTTACTATTTTATATGTTATCCGATGTTTGTTTTTTTGGAGAGAAAATTGATTTTTTGTTGTTTGGAATATTGTTTGCTGCAACTGTGATAGGCTATGTTTAAATAATCCGGACCTCAAAGCTACAAACTTTCTGCGCATGTGTCAACGCATAATGCGTTAACACATGCGCCTAATATCTTTACGCATGCGCGTTTAATGTATAACAGACGGTAAGAGCTAAGCTAAAATTATCTAATTATCTATTTCAGTTAATGTTGCAGATTGCGTTGTTCCTTAATCTTCGAATTGGATTCGGCTTATTATTATATGAATGGTGCATTATAAAATGAGTTTAGGCCTATTTGGTTTTCTTTTAAAATGCTGCTCTCACACACCACATAAGGCTCGTGGAAACTCCTGGTTTTGTGGAAGAATTTTCTGGTTTTTCTTATTTCATGGTTAGATTTTTGTTATTTTGAAAAGTTATTATGTTCTTTAAAGTTGAAAAAAAAAATATTTATTTTTCAGAATATCTTTGCTGTTAAATCAATTTTTATTAACAGTAATTTATAATTCAAAATTTCTTTATTTATACAGGGTTCGTAGTGGTCCTTACAAGTGCTTATAAGTCCTTATATTTGAAAATAAAATATAAGAGCCCTTATAGGTGCTTTTTTCTCTTTTTTTTTTTTTTTTTTTTTTTTTTTTTTTTTTTTTTGTTTTTGTTTTTAGTGTTATTTTTTGCTTTTAGTGCTTTTTTTTTTTAACACACATTTTCCGCCGTACCAAAGCCAAAACTAAATAAACAACTTTTCTTTCTTATATGGAACGTCAGATGGTGAATCATACTCCCAGAAATAGCTTTTTTCCCCTTTCTCTGCATTAACATAACCTTTGGCGCACGCGAGTACAGACAGGTGCACATTGCTCTATTGGTCAAAGAATTGCGAAAGCGCTAGAAAATTCCAGTACATTCCGTATTCTTTTGCTCCCACCCAATATACTACACAAGTTTGATTTTTCTATCAAGATTTTAATAATTTACATTCTCATTCCACGTGGTCAGTTCATATTAGCATTTGTTATGATCGGTATGCTTATATTATGAGCATATGTATGAATATTTATAATAATATATATTTGCAGTAAGCTGCTGAAGTATAGATAAACTGCAAAAAGGGGTCGGTGTGTTTTAACACAGATGAACTTTCTAAGGAATAATATTCGGAATGGCATAAATAAAGTGAAAGTAATCAAATAGTCAAAATAATAAATTTTTTTTCCAATGCATTATACAGTACAGAAGTTGGGGGTTCTCCCCTTTCTCCACAAAATCTTGAATATTGAAACCGTTACAGTTTGCAGCAAAGCAAGAAATGTTTTTTTTTTGGGGGGGGAGGGGGTCACTCTTCAACCTGAATTGAATAGGACTAAAAGTTCTGCGGTCTACCAACCCAAAGCGAATAATGATTCTATTCCGGAAATTTAACATAAAGGAATATGTACATAAAGAATAAAAATGAGAAATAAAAAGAGTAATGATGATAAATAACATTCTGTCATTATTTGGTGTTTTTTAACTATATAGTCAGAGTTTATTGATACTCCACATTGTGAAAAGTTGTTTAAGACTTTTTCAGTTGTCCATTTTGATATATTTATTTGATTTATGTACTTACATATTTTGCCAATTTTTTCATCTTTGGAGTGTATTTATATATGCTGTATTTTGAGCAAAGGCCTTTATTTAATTTTTTTTTCACAGGGGATGGTTCTATGCAATTACAAGGGTTGGAACTTTAATAGTGGCAACTATTTATTTACAAGGAATACAAAAGTGATTCATGTCACCATGTTTACAGCCTCAATATGTCACCAGCATTAGGTACAACCCGTTTCAACGATGTGGAAGTCGCAGAATACCTGTAGCAGCGCCTGTTTTTTGATAGTTTGAATGGACCGGTCTACTGCCGCAAGAATCTCAGGAACAGTTGGAAGCGAGTGCCACGAAGTGGGTTCCTTCATCTAGGAATTAAGTCATAGTCACAAAGGGCTTAGATCTGGGAGTATGGTGGACGATAAAGCACTTCCCAGCCCATCGCTTGAGCAAATCAGTCACAGCTTGCACTGCATGCGACCGAGCATTGTCATGCAAAATGAGAGGAGCATTCTGCCAAAAGTGTCACCGTTTTTTCTCAAAGCTGGTCGGAGATTGTGCTCCAAAAATGAGCAGTAATAGTGCACAGTGACGGTCTGCTGTGGGGGAACGGTATGCGTTAGGATGACACCATCACAGTCATACACGAGAATCACCATAACTTTCACATTGCTGGGGTTCTGATGAAATTTCTAACGTTGTGGTGACCCGTGATGACGCCATTCGTTTGATTGCCATTTCAGTTCTGGCTGGTACAATTGGGCCCAAGTCTCATCCAGCGTAATAATATGGCGTGAAAAAGCATCTCCTTCGCGCTCATAGCGTTCCAGGTGGGTTTGGGCAGCATCGTATCGTAGCCATTTCTGCGTTTCTGTCAATTGATGTGGAACCCATCATGAAGCAGTTTTTCTCATGGACAGGCGTTCTTTCAGAATGTGCAGCACAGTCGTATGCGCTAATCCTGTTTGTCCGGCCAGCTGACGAATCGTTTGGCGGCGATCACTGTCCATTAGTGCGGCAGCAGCTTGCACGTCTGCATCGCTGACACTCGGACGACCTGGCCACTGCATATCTGCCACGTTTTGGCATCCTTCATTGAATGCTTTCACCCATCTTGCTATGGTTCTGTAAGGCAATGCAGATTCCCCGCAAGCCTCTTGAAGCCCTTGATGACACTGTCGTGCTGTACGACCTCTGGCACATTCAATTTTTATCCAACATCGTTGTTCTTGTTGTGAAAACATCCTGACAACACTTACTTTAGACCGCAAGCTAATACAAGGATCCATTCTTCACGTCACTCTGCATGTGCGTGATGTTGGCACGACGAGTCTTTTTGCTGAGAGGTAAGGTAGGTATTGTGATGCTTCTTTGGCGAAATGAAGCAACTCCAATGATGGAACACAGCAATAACTTTTATTTAACACTAAAAAAAATGGCGACATACAAACAAGAAGAGAAAACATATTCTATAAACTTATTTAAAAAAAAAATAATTACATGCTTCGTGCGAGAAAATGCATGCAGCTCTCAAACCTGCATTTCAATATTGCCAGTAATCTGTACATTATTTATTATTCATCTATTTCAAATGCATGAGAGATTAATAACGATATTAAAGCTGTTACAGTATGTAGTTCACGTGTGGTATACGCGATATTCTTTGGTTTTGTTGCGTAGTGTTTTTTCAGCTGTGTTGCCACTATTAAAGTTCCAACCCTCGTATTTACAACTTGCTTTCGCAGTTTAAAAATTGAATAATGTCAGAAATATTGATCTGGTTACCATTTAATTAAATGGGAAATTGTAATATTTTGTAAAAATCTCTTTCTTTTCTTTTTTTTTTTTTTTTAATCAACTTGATGTGTAGGGTAACAAAACATGTTTCAATAGCATATGTAAATATGTGTCTTCTGCTCCAGAATTAGGAAAGATGAGTGCTTGTTGCATTCATTGTGTTCTCACTAAGTATTTGTGTAGAATTTTACAAACTGCTTGTTTTAAAGAAATGATTGAAGCATGTAGTTCAGATATGAAAATTAAGGCTTAAATTCTGCATTTAAAATTAAAGCACACTCAGTTATTAAAAACTGTTGCAGATTCCTTTCTGCATTTTGTGCTGAAATCAAAATTCTGACATCAGGAAAAGCAATTTTGATGCTGTCAATGCAGGAAATCATTTGAAAATATCCATGAAGTGGTACTAAAACAATAGTTTTGTTTTCAACCAAGGACAAATTCCCTCAGCCTTTTATTTAGCTGTTAATTATTAAATTTTAATTTATGAACATAAAAAATTACTTTTATTCAACCTTTGACATTTATGAAAATTTTCTTTACTTTTTGTTGTTTAATTTATAAAACATGCTATAAATAATTTAAAGCTAAATAAAGTAATATTTTTTTTAAACTTTTGGACTGTAGGGAGAATGAGTTTAGAGTAATAGTGAAAGAGGTACATGGATTAAAATAGGTTGAAAACTGTGCTATAGAAGAATTAGAATTTAAGTATGGATTAAAAATGTTGCAGAAATGCTCAAGTTAACATGTTGTAACTTAAAAATTGATGAAAAGTGATAATTATTCTGGAAACATTGACTGATAATATGACTTAGCCTATAATGTTGACAATTTAGGAAATAGGTAGAGAACTCTCACAAATAAATATTTGCAAAGCAAAATAGAGAGAGATAATTTCATGTAGAAATGGCATAAAAGGTTAAAGCAAATTATGTAGCAAACCTCCAACATCAAATCTTTTTAAATGTATAATTTTTCTTTTTGTGGAAAAAATTAGGCTTAATTCTGATATCAGTAAATCACCATCTTTCAGATGCTTGTTCTGTTGTTCATGTATTCAGAAATCTTAAGTACTTAAACGTAAACTTATTTTCTATGCTGTACAGTATTTCTAAAGATGTGTATCCCTTTCTATTTTGCTGTAGTGTTGAGTACCTATCTCTTTTTTCACACAAGATGTTTTAAGCTTTTACAGATATTTTCAAATAACATACAATTTGTTATTTATATTATTTGAAAATGCTTGTTTATTATAGCAACTAAATTGCATGTATTAGCTAGAAAAGACCTATTTTACATCTCAGTCATTTCCAACTGTCATTCGAGCTTCAACCTCTTATTTGTGAAATAATATGGATGCATATATTTTCATTAGAGATGTTTTCAATTGTAATTTTTTTTACTTTTATCTATTTTTACTACCTTAACTTGAAATATGTGTATATGTATGTTATATTTTTATTTTCATATAAATTTTCTATAATTTAGGAACAGCTGAATTGCTCGATGTTGGTTCATCTTTACAAGGTTTAAAAACTTGTCCTGGTCTTTCTTACTGGAAGGTGGCAAACAAGGAATTGGAATTTTTTGAGAAGTTTGAAGAAGTTCCGGAGAAAAATCTAACTCATATTAGGCCTCATATGTTTCCTCCTTGCAGTGAAGTTCTACAGGATTTGCATTTAGAGCGGTGGTATGTTGTACAGTTTCTAATCTGAATTCTGAATTTATTGTGAAATAATTTTGTTATAAAAGAAAAATTTTAATTTCTTAACAAATAGGTTTTAGACTTTTTAATATATATTTCTCTGCTGTGTATGTTTGATTGATATAAATATTCTTTACTTGTAGCATAAAAAATATGATCTTTATGGGTCAACTTAAAAATTAACTTATTACGAATATAAATATATGAATAGTAAAAACTATTTTTCCTCTTCTCTCAGGGAAAAGGTTTCATTTTTTTTATTTATTAATTAATTTTTTTAAAGCTTGCGTGTCTTACCTCATCATCAAGATACTGGAGGTTTTTTTGTTGCTGTCATTCAGAAGACTAATAAGCTGCCTTGGGAAAAGACATCAGGTAATTTAACTTCATTTTTGAGAAAATTCATTAGTCTTTTTATATTCCTCTTTCTAAATATGGCATCATTTTTTTTAGATGATGTAAAGCAGAATAGAGATAGGTATGTTATTTTTTTTTTTACCTCATTAAGTTAAATAAGTAAAAATATTTAGAAATTTATTATAAGAATAATGTGAATTATAATTCCATGATATGTTGCAAAGAATTCAGTACTTTTAGGAAATTTCCACTTTGGTTCTTCAGACTTTTTAAGGCTATTATTATTCATTTTTTAGTATATTATAGAAAAACTGGGTAAATGACTAAAATATCCCAATATATATTTCTTAAAAAAAAAAAAAAAAAATGCAATCGCCATTCTGAATTTGCCTGAAAAAGAATTGCTGTTCCTATTATGACATTCCTTTTTTTAAATTTACAGATTTTGCTATTGAAAATGATATATTATCATTTACATTCACTTTACCTGAAAATTTTTCCTGCTTTTTCTTAATGATCAATCTACTTAAAATGTGTAAAATTTTACATATTTTTTAATTCTAGATTTAAAAAAAATCAGACACTGGCATTTTGTCTCATATTCTCTTTGCCTATTAATATTGCTTAGTTAAGTCTCAATTTAAAAACTGTGTTACGGTAACTGGTACAACCAATCAAGGGTATTTAAAGACAGTACTATCTATCTAGTGTATTTAATGGAGATCAGATTAAGTGAAATGAAATGTTACACAAATCAATCAAAGTTAAATTAGTCGAATAAAAACAAACTATTGCAGATAGAACTGGAAAATTTAATTTTGAAGAAAATTATTTAATGATAAGGTGATTTTAGGAATTACTTTATATTAGTGATATCTACTAACTTAGAAAAATTAGATGGGGAGGGGGAGTGTACATGACAAATTTTCTGTGGGTCTCGAAGAATTTCTTCAGCATTAGCAAATTTCCTATTTTGGACTGAAAATTTCCAAACCAATGATAGTTTGGAAATTATTTACAGAAATCTTACTTTATAAATAACCATCAAATATTCAGAAAGCAGGATATGCAGCTTTCATGCGAGATATTTTTTTCTTTTATACTGAACTTATCTGCTGTTTAAAAAAAAAAAAATCTTCAGAGGCAGGGAATTTCTCTCACATTCTTAACATTTTAAAAATGATTACAGCTAGAAAAATTTTTAAGCAAGCAAACTTCTGATGTACCTCTATACTAATATTCATGTAGTAAAATTGTTTCTCTCCCTAAATGAAGCTTAAAAATTTTTCATTTATTATTGAAAAAGGGAAGGACAATTAGAGAAGCAGCCTGAGTTCGCCTTCCAACCTGTACACTCCATTAGACATTTCCAACCAGAAAACATGAGAAAATAATCGTGCTCTGAGCAGGATTTTAACCATTTATCTTTTAATTATTCATACTACTTTTCATACTAGGTAACATAATAAATTATGTTTTCATTCATTTGCTAGCTATTACATGTGTACAGCATGACAACATGCACAACAAAATATTATAATTCCATTCAAACTTCCATTGGCCAATTGAAAGATGGGAGGAATATTCAAGGTTTATTAAAGAATATTTTGGGCACCCATAACTTTGACAAATAATAAAATGTGATCCCAAGCAAGCTTTGTATTAAAATTTATTGCTTTTCCATGTTTAATATACTGTTTATATAAAATATTTATATAAAATATTTATGTAAACTGTCACAAAAGTTTTCTTCTGCCAAATAAGATTAAGGAAAGCTAGTATCTAACTAAGTATTTAGAATTTAATCAGTATTGAGAAAGAATAAATATTTTTCCTTCTGTCATTTTATGTCTGACACTTTTTCTTCTGTTACTGTTTATTTATGAGTGAATAACGCTCACCCTCGCCACAGTCAGGGTTTTGCACTTTTGGCTCTTAAGTTTTTGCCCCTTGGGATGCTGGTTATCCTCATCCTAGACTTCTTACTTCCTTTGTGCGTTTTAACTGTTAAGATAGATTTGTGTGATTGAGCCCTATTGGCATAATGTTTATTGAGCCGGATAAACTGTATTCTTATATGGTATTCCGACAAAATATCATCAGTCAGCCAAAAACCCCAGCGGTTGTATGCTTGATGACCACCGTGTCATAAGTCCTTCATTGCAATTTTCCTTCCTTCTGATAAAGACTGATGTATACCTGTTCGCCCTTGAAATCGATAATGTATTAATGGTAATCTACATTCGTGCTTTGCCTAATTCTACTTAATTCTTAAGACTGACATTTCTTGCAAATAATTCCAGCACATTTAGTTAATCATTAAATAACTTACAATAATTTAAAATAAAAATAATCATATCATGTAATAATTTTCTGAGAAAATTTACAAAGTGAAAGAAAATTTGAAATAATTTTAATTCTTTTAAGTGAATTGTGCATGGTGATGTGTATTATTTTCATTGCATTATTAACGTAATATCAGTTGTAGATATTAATATTCCACGGAATGCCCTCACTTACAAATGAAGAAGATACATGATAATAACTAATGTTTTCATTATGTCATTGTTATCAGTTGTAGTATTTTTATATCTCAAATTTCTTTATATAATAAAGGTAAAAGAAAATTATGATGAAGTTCTTCAGATGGATAGATGCCATTTTTATATGAAGCACGTAGTACATATTACATTTATGTACTTTTAAATATAAATTAAATATGTCAATTAATGATTGCTTTAGTAAACTCAACATACTTATCTAAAGTCGGTAATATTAATTTTGAGGCATTTCTATGAATAGAATTCTGTAGAAATGCTAATATCTTGCATCTAATAGTTCTTTAAGAGCTTTGTGAATAAATTATAATCTTTTAACTTAAATAGGAGCCCTCCTCCCAAAAAAAGAAAAATATGGGGATACAAAGAAGATCCATTTGTTTTTTTAGAAGACACTGAAGAAATCTGGCCTAAAATAAGGTATGTTTTAAGCATTTTTTTTTCATATATTCTGTCTCTTTCTTTACACACATATATATGTACACTGATGAACAATTGCTGAGAACTGATCACAAATGGCTATATAATACATAAAAAAAAAAAAAAAAAAGTGTGATTGCAAGTGAAGTAAAAGTATGCCAGAATACTAGAATATAACAACAAAGATAATGTATTGCTCTCTGAAATCTAGAAGGCTATGAAAAGTGTTGAAGGGACAAAATGGTCATTTTGTGCTGAACACTTAAAAGTGAAAGAAAAAAGTGTGATTACCATCCACGGGCATTCTGGTGAATACGGAATATGGCCACCATGGAGAGCGATGCAAGATTCCACACATCATATCAAGCTTTGCACAACATTATCCATCAGCTGTTGGGGTAATTTATGCATGCTTTCTAGATACTCCTAGACAGTAGATTGTTCAATGGTGCATTACATTGCCATTCATTAAAACAAATTTATCACAGACAGCACCACAGAACATACAAACATGAGGCAGCAGAACATCATTAATGAATCATTGGCCACTCAGGCCCCGTTCAGATGAGGGCGTAAAGGGCATAAGTGGTTAAAGCCGAGCTCCGTTGCCAAGGCAACCAGTCTCTGCTACGTCACAGAATCTGGTTTAGGGCTCGTGGCATAGGGTTCAAAGTTTTTAACTTTACGCCGAGTTTGGGATAAGCGTCGACCAATCAGATCGAAGCTAAAACGAAGCGGCTTTCTTTAGACAATTTTGCTGTCACAACGAAGGCGGCTTTTTTTTTTTTTTTTTTTTTTTTATATATATATCTATATATATATATATATCTATATATTATCTATATCTAAAAAAAGAATATCTATATATATATATGGAACACATCGTATCCGAATGAGTTGTAATCGTATCCGAACGAAATAAAGAGTTGATCTCGCAAGAAATCTACGATGATGACATGCATTTTTTAATGAGTTTTTAATGCATTTTTAATGAGTTTTCAATTTATATTGAAAAATATGGATGAAACTCGTAAAGCGAAAGTTAAGCTCAGGATTATTCACGCTGTGTACGATCCTGTAGATGATTGATCCCATCCAATATTTTCCATTTTATTATGAAAATTCTTTAAAAAATGCATGATTGCAAAAATTTTATTTTTTTGTGTAAATTATTATTATTTTCTTTCTGTCTATAATTTCCTGTTTAATTATTTTTGTATTTAAGAATAAATTTATTGAAAAAGCTGGAAATATTGTATTGCTATTTGCTTCAAATGCTGATTTTCTTTCCAAACAAACTTCATGAATTAATTTTACTAAAACATGAAATCAATATCAAGAATCTGCTTTTTTTTTTTTTTTTTTTTTTTTTTTTTTAATAGTAAAAATATTACTTTAAAGAAAAAAGAAAAAATTATTTTCACTTATTTAAGAATAGTCACAATAGTCAATTCAATGGTGTAAGCTTTGTATAAGTAATTAAAGATTAATCTTTTGAGAAAATGCTCTTATGAATTCCAAGAAGGAAAAGATGTAGTAAAATATCCTTAAAATAATCAAGAGTCTAGACAGTTTTGTCTCCTGTTGAAGTTCTGTTCTGTTTTTTAATTACATTCTCCATGAAAGGAATTTACTTTTAATGAAACTGAATAGCACACATAATTCGTAACATAGACTATAATTTAATGAATAGTATTTATTATTATTATCCACTCTTTATTACTATCATTTGAATGGAATTTTGATCATTAAATTCATGCTATTTCTCTGGTAGAAATTCCTCGATAACGTATGAATGTTTATAATTTTGATGTATTTGAAGACTTGGGTACCTAAAATTTGTCAATGTGAAATTACTTTTGAGATTTGGTCGTAAATAGAAATGACAGCATATGTTGAAATTAAATTCAGGGGTGCGGCTTATACATGCAAATTATTAAATAGGTGTATACAAACAGCTGGCAACACAGCAAAATGTATTTTATGATTGAGCATAAAATACATTGTTGGGTTGAACGTTTCCTAGTATTGTACTAGTTGTAGTTGCTGGTCATTGGTGACCAGTTGTGGGATACTAGTTACTAGTGATAATTGATACTGGTAGTGCAGCCAAACTACTATAGTGATCGACAGGGACAGTGAATAAGGAGTGCTAAGCACACATGTTTCACTTGTCACAGAAACATGTTCCTTTTGATTGAAAATTTAAAATAATAATAATAATATAATGTATGGTAAGTACTGTTTTTAGCTTAACTGCTTTCACACCTGCAAAATGGAAAAATATTATATACAGGCTATCTGTTAGTTATCCTCAAGATTTTTTTTTTAACTAGGCATATTTAGAATATCGTATTTTTCCCAAGAGAAATTATATATAAAAATTGAAGAAGGTTTTATATATATAAATATGCATGTGCATGTTTATAGTATGGAGAGTGTACTACAGTACAATGCAGAAATATTCCATAGTGCTTTGCACAGAAATATATGTGCCAACCAAGTATTGGTCTTTCAAAAAAATATATCTTGACCATTTCGTTCTTTTTCGTTATTTACCTTCCTTCGTTGCCTCTTGGCTAATTAGAAGGGCAGATAAAAGATCATTCTGTTGAGCCAGTAAAATTTTGTGGCGAGCTGAAAAAACCATGACACAATGAAAAAAACAAGCAGAGCGAACGCGGGAAATCAATCGAGCGGGAGAACAGCGCGGGAAAGTTGTAGACATTCCACGCATGCGCAAATTTAGCGTCTCTCATTGGCCACTGCTTACACCTCGTTCTCCCCTATTTTATGCCCTTATGACTATGCCTCTATGCGCTTTACGCCCACATCTGAACTCACCTTCACAGTCCCAGATGAAAGCACATAGAGTGAAATATGGCTGTTGATCATGATCACAGCCCATACCATGACATTACATGTAGGATATTGGCCCCTTTCCTGTATGTTGACTGGACTCTATATATACTCTATATATACTCTCATGCCACCAAATTTAGACTTGATAAGGCCCTAAACTAATTTAGCCAAATTTAGACTTGATAAGGCCCTAAACTATTTGAGATATAGGGGCCCTTTATAAGTCTATTATAATATATTTTTATACTATTTATACTATATTTTAACCCTCTGAGTGTTACAGGTTTAGCCCTGAAATTTCAAAGTTCCTCAAAATGTCACGAATAAGTGATATTTTCTTGATTTTAATTAAAAAATGACTCTTTCATTTTGTACCTTGATTCCTTTTCTTCCATTATACATCCAAACTGAAATCGGATCCATTAAAAGCTAGCAGAAATTTTCATGTATAATGAATGTGGAAGGCAACCTTCTGTACAGAATTTTCCGGTCGTAACGCTGAGAGGGTTGATTTGGGGGGCTCTAAGCTATAGCTTAGGAAAGAAAGTGGGGGCCCTAAGCTATAGCTTGTGTAAATCTTATACGTAAGTACGGCCTTGCATGCCACATCAGTTGTCATCCACAATTAGATGAGAGACTGAACCTACTTTCATCTGAGAATAGTACATAAGCATAATAGTCTTCCCTCCAACTGCAATGCTGATGACACCATTGCAAACGGGAGGAATGGTAACATCTAGCCAAGTGCTCCACAACAGGTGTGCCATGAGTAGGATATAGGTGTGCCGCAATCAAATACATGTATTTGACATTTTGCAATTTTTTATCATGTATTTAATACACAATGACATTTGTTTTCCTATTTCCTATTCTATTTTAAATGTTTTTATATATTTCACTGTTGTGTGGTTGTGTGTGTGATTGTGTGTCAGCATTTGAATTTTTTCGGCACTTCCTTGATAACTCGGAACTCTTTGGTGTGCCATGAAATTCCAGAAAGATTTTTTGTGCGTCGCAGGTGAGAAAAGGTTGCGGAGCACTGATCTAGACAAATGAATGCACATAACAGCACGATAGAGGTATAGTCCTTCTTGACAAACATCTGGCTACAGTTTTTGGAAGATTCGCTTGCCAGTAACAGCAAGTAACTGATTTGCTACTTCCCTTTTTGTTGATAGCACTATATACCTATTTTCTGCAGGCATCATACTCGGAACATGACCTCCTCTGTGATGTTTGCTGCACATTTCATATGTTTGAAATGATTTCCAAAGCCTTGAAACAACACTATGGCTGATGTTGAACTTCCTGACAGTAATCTGTTATTTTTTGCCCTTCATCAAACTTGCCAATAACATGGCCACACATAAAATCATCTAAGTGATGTTGGAAAGACATATCGAAAATTGAAAGATTGTCAATCTATGTTTTCCTGTTAAATTTTGCTTTTGAACAATAACAGTGAATATGCATCAAATCCTAAATCCCTTATCAGCGCTATCAATGATGAACAATTTCGACAATCCAAAATTTGCATACGCAGAACAGATCTTACTGTATCCTGCACTTAAGCTAATTTCCACATTTTCCTGCCTTCGATTTTGTGGTTTCTACTGTCACCCGTCCTTAGCAATTTACCAGTGTAATATGCACAAACTCGTATTACATCTAATAGAAGAGAAATATGTCAATGTAAAATTTAAAGTTAGGCAAAAGAGCAACCTTAGCTTGCTGTAAATTAAAAAAAAAAATCTATTCCCAACTGAGGTTCTTTGCTTAATTTTAAACTTATTATCTTTCTTTGCCAAAAAATAATGTGATAACATACGGGGGGGGGGGGAATAAATAGTGATTGCATTCATTATATTTAATATCATAATTTGAAAAATGTCCAAATTTGAAAAAGAGTTCCAAATATTTTTAACTTTTATTTCATATTACCAAACTAAATAAAATTAGTAAAAAAATAATTTTATAAATATAACAGGCGTCATGTGATCCTTAAAAGTCCTTAATTCCGGTCAAAACTGACAAAAGATCCATAATTTTTCTCATCTGACATTTCTGTCTGTTTTTTATGACTGCCATTTTGAGTGTGAATTAACATTTTGGAGGAGTATTTTTTGCCAATACATTGACAGATATGTATTTGACGGGTTAAGATTTGATTCTTTGCTGCTACTTGATATAAATGGGAGATGCCCGAGTTTTATATACGAGGCTCTGCTTAGATAAAAACATAAAAAACATAAACATTTCAAAGTAATTCTTTTTTTGCAAATGAAGAGTTCATAAAATATTACATCAAAAACAACTTTTCCCTTTTTGAGATATGAGTTCTTTTATTACGCAGCACCAAATTTGGTTACTTATCAACATTTTGGCGCTTTCAAAATCAGTTTGTATTTAGAGATTTGCGAGATTTTGACAATTTTTTTCAGAAACATTACAATGCTGATAAATATCTTAAAAATAATGATAACAAATGAAAATTATAGTAACAAAATACCATTAAACTAAAAATTTATATTTTCTCCTGCCATATTTTAATATCTCATTACTTCTATTTTAGTGACTTAGAAATATTTTATTCTGAAAAATAAGTAAATGTTATAAAGCATGGTTTCTGAAACATGTCTTAGAAAACAAAATATAAATGCTACTGTAATTATTTCAAAATTAATATCATTTGACTTTTTTAAATACATTTTTCATGTTAAGAGTTTTTTTCCCCGCGTAATTATTTCAGGATATTAAGATGTGTATTAGTTTCCTCTTTAAAATTCACTTTACACTTCTCTTTCCTGAATTCCCCCCCCCAAAATCTTTTGCCTTTTTGCTCTTACAGAATTCATAGGGATAATTTTTCTTTTGGATTTCAGACCTCCCATTTGGGAAGGTCTAAGGGCAAGATTTATAGACTTACAATTTCCAGAAAAATGTGATGTAATGAAAGTGTCTGTGTGGTTATTAACTTATAACAGATGTGGAAATTTGTGATTAATTACTTTACTTTTGGAGAAGTTTTGGAAGAACAGTGAAAAGATTATTTGAATTTTCTACTTTTGATCCCAGGAATCTTTAATATGTTTATCTTCCTTTTATTTTCTTATCTTTCCATTAGACACAAGCATCAAAGAAAGCAAAGAAACTGAAAACCGACAGTTAATTATAAAATAATTATTATTAAAAGTTTCAACATATATATCTCAGTATATACCTCAGTGCCTTCCCTAAATTTTGTCACTCGGTGCTTCTCTAAATCCTAAAAATTATGTCACACTGACTCTGATACTGGTCTTGATCTTATATCATTTCATATTTATTATCAATACTCATATTACTAAAGAAATAAAATTAGTAGTTTCTTCTATGCATTTTAAGTACAAGCAGCTCTTTAGAATAAAAACAATCTTTATTGAAACATGGAATATCTAAAATGAAGAAGAAATTCATTGAAAAAGAAATTGGTTTTATAAAGGGATAGAAAATTATTCTTCAAAGGTACATTGTTGAAATGTTAATAAATTAGGAGATGAAGGAGATTAGTGAGAACATTGATTCATTTATTTAAACAAACTTGGAAATGTATGTAAATTAGGTAAAATATCTGGAACATTTTCAAGCTTAAAAAAAGACACTTAAACATTTTGTTTTTTGTTGTTATCAAACATAAATTTTTTGTAGTTATACTAATATCATTTTAGCATCTCCATTGTAAGTTATAACTGCTATAAAATGTTCTTAGTGCTTTTTAATAGATATTTTTTAGAAATTGAGAGGGGGGATTGTAATGTAATTGTAACCTGTAAATCAGGTTATAACTAAGAGTAATTAACTGCCCACCCTTAGAAGTTATCTCTACATGCTAAGGTGAGTTAGTCATCTCCTTAATATGCATGCAGGATACAACACAAAAATGTAAAACTTAGCATAAAAATTTATTCCTTATGGCTGATAAGATTTAAAGTTATACAAAACTTCTCACCTCTGGTATTGGAACTTTATATATTAAATAATGTATATTATATTAACTGGGTTACAACTTCAGAAAATCTGCAAGAAGCTATGATACTAAGTGTGTTAAAGTGCAACTATAAACACTTACAAACATTTGCTGTTAACTAACATTCTGATCAGTGGCTTTCTGTCTCTAAGCAAGCAATTGCAGTGGCAACGGCCAAGCTTCTGTTAGGGGTCATGCTGATTATTATTTTACTTCACAGTTTAACTTATGCCAATTAACATAAAATTTGCATATGTATCTGGACTGAGCGAATACGTGATGAAATGAGGCATAAAAGAACAAATCAATATAAAGTTACTTCTTAGTACAATTTAAATAAAAAGCCACTAATCTTCTTTAAAATATGTGAAACTTTTGTAAGTGTAAAATATAAATATTTTGATAACTTTCTGTAATTTATTGCTAATTACTTGAAACAATTTGTGAAATTAATTTTATTCTTGAATTAGTTTTGTAATTAAGTTAAATATTAGATTATGTTTCATAATAATATATCCTACTTACAAATTTATTTTATTTTTACAAATTACAAAAGTAAAGTTCAGGTAAAAATAATTGCTTTAGTTTATTGAGTTCTTATTTGCTTGGTGGGTCCTTAATTGTTTTCATTGATGGTTCTTAAAAGTACTTAATTTCCCTGTTCAGAAGTGTGTACGAAACCTATATAATGTATTCATAATCAGGAAATAAAAAAGGTAAATATTAACTCTACTAATGAATTTCTTTAACTATCAATATAGTATATGAATTTTGAAATGTGCCTTTTTCAGAGATTTTTACAAATTAGAGGATTTTCCTGCTGCACAGCTTCTCAGCAGGTGTAGAGAAGGGAAAAAACGAAATTTATATTTCACTTCAAGTTTGGTGAAGAACATTATTGAAGAAAATTCTCAAAATCTAAAGGTAAACATCTGTTTATGCACAGAACCTAGAAGAAATCAGCATTTTGCTCTTCACTCATGTATATAAATATATATTTTTTTATTTTAATTTCAGATAATAAATACTGGCATCCGTATTTTCTGCAGAAGTGAAAACAAAGATACTACATGCATATTTAGATTGACCCAAGAAGTAAATTTGATTCTTTATCAATATTTATTACCTATTGCATGTTTATCTGTTCATTATATTAAATATTTTTATTATTTGTAGGGCATACAAACAATTTTGCCTTTCATGAGAGACAGGATGATGGAAGTCAATAGAGATGATCTTATATTACTGCTTACAAATGAGTATCCTGCCCATACTTTATTTAGTGAAGAGACACAGAAAAAACTCTCTAACACTGGTAAATCTAAACTTTTCTTTTAAGTTTAACTAATGATAATATGGAAATAAAGTTAACAGTCAGATATGGCTTACATTTCACAACCTTGTAACAAATTTGCCCTCTATATCTGACTGGGAAGATAACGGACATAAAATTAAATTTATTTCATGATTTTATAAATTACATGACTCCTATTTGTCTGGATAGTTTTAGTTTTCTCTTAATTCCAATGAGAATTTCTTGGGGAGGGGGATATGATCTTTTTTATATAATCAACTGTTGCTATATTTTTTGTTAATTATTCAGAAAATCTATAAAAAGAGCTTGCTGAGCTCTCCATTAATTTCTTCATATTTTCTAATTAGAATCTATGTATTTTAGTACATGTCTGCCAACTTTTTCAAATTTTTTTTGTAATTGTTATGAAAACTATTCTCATTTTACAATCACATGCACAAGAAGTATTTTTTATGAATCATGCAATATTTTGTAAAGATTGTACTAATTTGGTGATTTATCACTAAAGATATCTGGGTTATTGTTCATTCTCTTTATTACACCAGGAAAAAATTCTTTTTTTGCAGTATGAATTCTTTTATTATGTATCATTAAGTTTGGCAACCTTAAAATCAATGTATGAAAAATAAAGAAATCAATGGAAATTTACAATTTTTTTCTGTCAAATGTAATGACATTGATTATAATATCATTAAAACAGTGATATTAAAATTATATTTAATAAAAATAATTTCTGTGTAAAATATTTTTATTTTTCTCCATCATGTTTTAAAACACTTTTCATTTTGGTGACTTCTGAATATCAAAATTTAAAAATAAGATAAATCTTTTGAAGCTTCTGAATTACTTTTAGCAAAAGGAAAAGTTACTTAATTTTTTCTTTTTTTTTTTTATGCCCTGATTATCCATATCCCCCCCCCAAAAGAGTAGCGAAGTATTCTGAATTAGCAGAAAACATTTGTTTCGCCATCTTTATGTGTCATAAATAATAATAAAAAGGAGCATTTTATAAGAAATGAAAAAATTTGTGAGGGACAAAATATATATAGCTGATAATTTTCAGTTCTACAGCTGGTAGATACTGTTTAATTTAATATAAAACGTGTGGTATATGCATTTGCTCTTAATCAAAAACATAAGTAATAATATGGCTCAAAAGTTTAGTAATTCTACCAAATATTGAAATTGGGATGCAGATAATCGGAAATTATTTTTTCCTTGTGTGTGTGATATGTGCTTTTCCCAGTGTAATAGTTATAAAATACTGAGATCTCTTCATAAAGAGATTTCACAGATTATACTTTTCGAATATTTTTTTTAAAATCCTTCGATTTTTATGCTTATGAAACTGGCAGTTAAAGTACGTTTATATATGTATTTTATGTAATTTCATTACGTGCTTTTTTATATAAATATTATAAAAAGAATAGCATTACGTTTGATTTTTAAGCTTGATAAGAAATTATTTAGAGTCAAACCTCACTATAGAATACCTGGCTTATAACAAACAAACATTTTGTTTCCATCGAATTTCTTATGGATTCAATGTTATTTTAAATGGCTATATCAAAATTTCAAATGGATAAAAATCAGATATAACACATTTTGTTGGTGTCTTGGACTGAATTTTTTTATTTATTTATTATTTTTTTATTTATTTATTTGTTTGTTTTTATTTTTCAGAGCTTCTTCTACACTGGAAAATTACTAACCCTTAAATTCATCCTGTTTAGGGTATTAGAATAAAGAGAAACACTCACTGTTCTTTTCTCTTCAATCCATCCTTTCTCTATGTTCTAAGCAAAAAGCTATGTGAGGCTGCTGTAGCTTTCAATTTAAAAGAAACCAAGACACACAATTAATGAGAAAAAACCTTAAGAGCCTTAATCTTACTGTGTTATGCTTTGAACCAAAGAATCATTGATCCATTGAGACAAGGAGCTTGAACTGATTCTTTGAATGAGTTGCCAGAAAGCACTCTATTCAAGGCTGATGCTTATTCATAATTGTAAATGCATATTTTAGATGGAAATATGTAACAGGAGGAACGGGTCTAAACCATGACGTATGTGCTAAGTAATTTTTGTAAATTTGTTAACAAATGATGAAACTGGAAAACAACGAAAGAGGAGTTTAGTAAATCTATATAATAATAATTGTAATTACCTTTTAATATGTTTAATTAAAGCTATTATTAACATCTTTTGGGAAATATGACAGTGCTAATCACTCTTTCTGTGCAATTCATTGATCAAATTTTACTCTTCCGTGAGATGATCCATTTTTCCGCATAGGATTGAATATAGTGAACAAATTTTCTGTCTCTTGAAATTTGTTATAATGGCATTTGACAGAAATATCATAAAAATAAGAATGAGATTACATGTTTAGTTTCAGAACTTTCATTAAAGAAAAAGTTAATTTCATTGATTTTATTTTATCAAAAAATATGTTTTGTATTTTATTATATTGAAATAAAAATTAGTGTAATGTAAAATCTTTTAGATTATATTTCAAAACATCATGATAAAAATATTAGCTAATGTCAGTCAGTACCTTTTTCACTTGTCAGTGTTTTGTATGCTATGTTGTCTAAACTCTATGAAATTTTATACATTTTTTTAGATTCAGGATGCCTGGTATTGTGTTACACTGGAAATAAAGGGTAAGTTTTAGTTTCATAATTGCTTGGATTTCTTGCTATATAATTAATATACTGATATATATAATTATGACTTTAGGCAATTTATTTTTTTAATTATAAAATGAAAATTATTAATTAAATGTACAATTACAAGCTATAAACAGTCATTACTGTGAAATAGAGTGTCAATAGGTTTTGGCTAAGAGTGACAGTTAACTGTAAATGTAAAAAATCAAAATTTAAATGAACAAGACCAAATTTAAATATGAGAAAGGAAATCTTCAAAAGGTGGTCATAAAGAAATCGATACTTTGTTCAGCATCTGGTACAATTATAGTATGACCACCTCCTGAACATTTCAGACAGATTTTGATATCATAATTGCATCAATATTTACATATAATTTTTCATATTTAAATTTTGTATTGTTCATTTAAATTTTGATTTTTTATATTTATAGCAAACTGGCAATCTTAGTTAAAGGTTGTGGGCACTTTTATTTTGCAGTAATGATTTTTATAGGTTATAATTATAAGCTTAAACAATAATTTTTGTTTTATAATGTCAAAAAAGTTTATTTGCCTAAAGTCATAATCTATTTTAAATAATTATTGTATAACAATCTGAGCTGTAATTGTGTTGAATATAGGTGTTGAAAATCCTATTTACACATTATTTGTTATATATATATATACGATTAGTAAGAAATTTAAATTAATAATCAAGTTTAAAGTTAATTTAGTCATTCTAATAATTTATAATTAATTTCAAATGTAGCATTAATTAAATTATAGTAACTATTACAAAATTACTTTTAAAATTGTAAAAATTTCTAAAACAGTAAGTACTAAAAAGAGCACAGATTAATGAAGTAGTGGTTTTTTACTACTAGAAATAGAAGCGAGTAATTTTTTACTTTGTTTTTTTCATTTTATCATTTAAGAATTTGCATTTATTTTATAAATTAAATTGTAAGTTGGTTTTTCTACACTTAATTAAATTTTCTTATTTATTAATTTGTGCATTTTGTAGTGCTTATTGTTTTTGGAAAGTTTGAAATTTTAAAAGTAATTTTGTAATAATATATACATATATATTTTTACAAAATTCATTGTATTCATAAAATATTTATTATATTCATAAAAAGTATTACTTATCAAGTAAGTGGTATCAAGCCCAATTTTCAAGATTTTAATTAACACTAGAAATCAATTTTATAGAACTGTATGTAAACACAGAAATACTAAGTCAAAGGAAGCAGCATGAAGTTTGCTCCATTTATCCAAATTTTGAGAATAAAAACATAAAACCGCAATTTCCCCAAACTCAGAAAAACGGAATCACTCAGGGGATTCATACATGCAAGAGAAACTGCACAGTAAATGTGTAATGCAATACTCTCCTATTTCAAGATGACTGAATTTTTCCCCCTCATATTTGACATTTTTTTTAAGTGTTACTTAGTTTTACAAAGCAATAGTGTACATTCTTTTCTGGTTAGACTAAGATTATAATGACACTGCTTAATTATTGAAAGTATTATAAACTATTTTACTTTATTTATATTTCAGAGCTGAAGATGAATTTAAGATTGAGTTGTGTGGATGGAAAGGAAATCAAACTTTACGATGTTATGTACCAAAAGTAGGACGAGCACATTACTTGAGGATATGTGGAGTTGATGTATCTGAATATGGTAAAATTTTATTATTATTTTTATCTTAAAACAATATAAGTTGACTAAATACATTGAGTAGTACTGTTCAAAATTCTTATCATTTCCCTATATATCCGTTCTGTCTATATTTGTTTAAAATGCTTGGTATAAACTGAAATTGGATAACAAAATTATGATGTATGTTGTAACTACTATGAAGAGTAGTGTTCTAAATGCGATTTTACTAGTTTTTATGATAACAAGAGGATTCATTTATTCTGTTATGCCCCCTCCCCCCACTAACCACCTTTATAAATATCCTTAAATGAAGTTTAAGTGTATCATACCTTAGCTATTTTCTTTTTAAAAAAAGCTACATTTTAGAATATTTATGGGTTTAAATTTTTTATAATTATTAGATTTTTAATTTTGTATTAAATTAATTTCTAAATTTTATATTACTCTCCTTGAACTTAAATAAAACTGCTATATCTCAAAAATAATTTTTAAGGTAATCTTAGCTAAATTAAACTATTTTAAATCTTTTCAATTATTAGATTTCTTTTAATTTACTGTCAGACCATATTCTGCTGTGTACTAAAAAGTACTTTTCATAATATCCTTTTTTGCAAATTTTGAAATATATCTAAAATAATAGATTTTTAAAAAATATTTCAAGGCAAAATAAATTATTATTTATTTAAAAATTCTAAAATCTTGGAATGAATTCCAGTTTTCTTAGTGTAAATCTGTGTGATAAAAATTCAGCTCCTGAATAAATTTAAGACTAACCAAAATGCTGTGGCTTTGCTATACAATCAAAAATTGATTAAATGCCAGCAGTTAAAAGATTTAAGTACAAAAATTTCAAACCTTCATATTTTTTGCAGACTTATATTATTTAGTAAATATATTATGAAATAATATATGTAAAGCTTTAGGACTCTGGAAGTAGTGTAAATTGAAAATGCAGTGTAATCTCGATTATCTGGGCTAATGCAGAGTAAGCATGTCATGGATAATCGAAAAACACAGATAATCCAAACTATCAATTTTCGTATATATTGTATGCATTTCTTTCTTTAAAAAAATTATAATTTTACTTTTTTTAGACTGTCTGAATATTTCTTGAATTTCATTGCATATTTTTAAGTGCCATTTTATCAATGTATTCAAATCCCCCTTTGATTAACAAAGTTTCAACAAAAGTCATTGCTGTCTTAGGAAAGTAATGTCAGTGACTCTTCACTGTTTTCAGTGCTACGTTTCCGTTTTTTTTTAGCATTAAATATTCCATAATCATTTAAGCCTGGTGAACATTCTTAATACAGTAGACTCCCGATTAGATTATGCCGCCTGCCGCACAAAGTTTTTTTTTAAAAAACAAGCGTAAAGCAAACAAAATAAAAATTTTCACAAAACTGAGCGAAATTTACTAAACATCGTGCTTATTTATTGCAAAAATATCCCAGGCCTTCTCGGAACCTTACCCTCGGCCCCTATGATGAGTAAGTGATTACTCACGCTTGCAGTGCCCGCTCCACCGCCCTTTCTCGTCTTAATCTTACTGACACGTTCACTTCCTTTCACTCGCCATTGTTAGTTTAAGCCTAATAGTGTTTGTGAACCGGTCCGAGTTAAATTTCTTATCTTTTTATTGTATTCAGTGCTTGTGCTTTTTGGTTTTGTGTTTTTGTTACTCATTTAAAATGTCAGGAAAATGAAAGAAGGTTGTGTTGACGATAGCGCCAAAACTAGAATTAATTTCCAAAAGCAAACAGCGCTACAAGGTAGCATATGGAATTGGATTACAGAATCGCGGAAACAACAGTGCGTGACATTCTAAAGCAAAAAGACAAACTGGTGAACTTTGCATCAATGTCGGATAGTGCTTCCGCAAAGAAAACGCGAAAAAGTGTGAAAGGTTCTACCTTTGATGAGCTAGACACGGCATTGACAGAGTGGTTAGCTGAAGTACGAAAACAGGGTACTCCTGTAAATGGTCCTATCATTGCGGCGAAGGCAAAAACCTTTTTTGAGTTGTTAGGCCTGAAAGGAAATTTTGATGCATCTTTTGGCTAGTTGACTCGTTTTAAGCAGCGACATGGAATTCGAGAAATTGGACTTCATTGGGGAGAAACTTAGTGGTGACCAACAAGCAGCCGACGATTTCCACCATGAATTTGAAGAATTTGTTTTAAAAAAAGAGCTATCTTTTGATCAAATTTAAAATGCCAACGAATCGGGACTTTTGTCGAAATATCGGGATCCCACTCGCACTTTAGCATTTGAAAATGAAAGTAAAGCGGCGGGTTCATAAAAGCAGCAAAGCAATAGGATCACTATCATGTCTTGCAGTAAGGCTACCGGTGGACATAAACTTAGACTTGTTGTCATTGGAAAGTTTAAAAAAAAAAAAAAAAAAAAAAAAAAGAGATCTTTCAAAGGCACAAGGATAGAAAATTTACCCGTTGTTTACTTTAACCAAAAAAAAAAAAAAAAGGAATGGATGGAACCGAAACATTTTTCAAGAATGGTTCGAAAAAATCTTTTTTCTTCAAGTGCAAAACATCTTAAATCGAAAAGCCTGCCTGAAAAAGCTGTGCTATTGATCGACAACACACCTTCTCAGTCAGCAACAAGCATGTTAAGTCTTCTGATGGACAAATTTTTGCAAAGTTTCTCCCCCCCCCAAACATTACTGAGCTAACCCAACCCATGGGAACCAAGTAGTCATTGCAACAATGAAGAGAACATACAGAACCAAGCTGCTAATGACCAAAATTGAAGAAGGTTATATCTGAAAGAGTTTTGGAAACACTACACAATCTTCGACAGCATCTACGATATTGCATCTGCATACAACTCAGTGAAACCGTCAACCCTCATAACATTATGGAGAAAACTCATGCCTAATGTTGAAGCCAACAACAACCTAACCCCTTTGAGTTGTAAAGAAGAGAAGGAAGCTATAGAGACGCCCACAGCAACTTTTGCCGATATGGTGAAAACAGTTCCGAGTGGTGAGAGAACGTTGATGCTGAAAGCATTAACGAGTGGTTGGAGTGTGACGTCAACGAACCTGACTTTGAACGCTTGACAGATGACGAAATTGTGAAGAAAGCAAGGGAAGAGACCGAGAATGAAGGAGAGCAAAGAAGAGCCCACTGTGCAGATGCGGAAGCAGCTTTGCAACAAGCTATGAGCTTTTTTTCACAGTATGTATTGAGAATTACCTTAAAAATTCTTCCATGAAGGCATTCCTTCCCATATGGCGATAGCTCTCAGTGCTTTGTCATAATCAAATAAACCAAACCCTGATTTCTGTATTAGGAAGAATCTTTATGCATGTTCAAACTAGTGTTATAAGTTTTATGTTCAACCAAGCTTTTGCTACTTCCTATATGGCATCCAATACAGTCACCTTTTACCAGAAATTCATTGAATCATTATCTTCACAGCTAGAATTTTGAGAAGACCAGCTAATTTCACTGATGATATTACACCTTTAGCCATTAGCTTAATTAAACTGGAAACATTTGGAGGTAAAAATGTAGCTATCATTAGACCATCTATTGTTTTTTTTTGCTCACTCTGATGCATAGCATTAAATGTGAATGTTTGGTCAGCACCACATATGGATAATCCACACGTGGAAATCAAGATTACACTGTGCATTCTTCCAAACATACGTTACTTAAATAAATAAAAAATTGAAAGGAGAAAGAATGTAACACTTAATATGCATATCTTAGTAACAAGAAAAAATCTACTATTTGTCAAAAGGGAAATATGATTTTATTAAACAGTACATGGCAAACATTTTTGAAATAAGAAAAATAAAAGATAACTTTTTAATCAAAGTTATTAAAATTTAACTTCAAGTGAAACCCTTTTATAATTTACAGTAGTTAAATGAAGATCCCCTCCTTCCCCCCAAAAAAAGTCTCTTTAATGGCAATTATATATCCTTAATTGCTGAATATTTCAGCTGGCTTTCTTCATCAACCAATGAATCATTTTAGTGCTGCAATACATACTTGAGCACTAAGATCACTGACAAGCTCTAAATGGGCGGCTTTCATTGTGAAGCACACAAAAATACATTGTTTGTGGGTTAACTTTCTACCACGTCAAAGGCTGATAAAAAATTGTCCAACAAAGTGTGTGCCACATCTAAGAAATGCTCTTCCAGTATTCACTCTCGCAGAAGTGTAGTCTCCCATAGTTTGTTTTGAAAACTTTGGGAAAATATTAAACGCCTTTTGGGCTAATTATTTTTTAATTAAAAAAAGACTTTGGGGAAAATATTAAACAGTTTCTGCATTTTTATGGATTATTGCAATTTTTTCCATGTGTATTTTCACTATACAATGTAGCAATTCTTGTAATCATCTTTATAATTTCATTACAAATAAATTCAAATCTGTTTTGTTTCTGCTTTCAGAGAAATTTATTAAATAATGCAATCTGAAATATGATTTAATAAAAAAATTGAAACTTATGCTAAAAATTCAAAAATATACATTCTTTCAAGATAAAAATTACATTCCAACTTGTTATTGTTAATTGAGAAAATTTCATTGAATTTAAATTAATACAGTCAAAAGTTGTTAATCCGGACTCGTCGGGACTACGGCAATTCCAGATTATCGATTTTTCCGGATTATAGATCATCAGTTTAAATATGGTAAGATGGCATGCAGAAATTGCAAAATTAAAAATATGGAATCGTAATTTATGAAATAAAGAACAATTATGATCTAAAGGGTATCAAAATTTAAAAAAAAAAAAAAAAAAAAAAAAAAAAAAAGCAGCTTAATATTTATTTGTTTACTTTATTAAACATTTCTTTTAATGTAAGTTGTTTAAGTTGCTTCGTTTTCATGTGATAATACATTCTCTTTAATTCTATAAACAGACATAATTTCTTGTTCAGTTATAAAGTTCCATTGTTCAAGTCCTGTAATTGCTGTGTCTACTGACTAATTTGTCAATCGAAATTTTTTCCGTTTTCAATAACCTCTGTGTCACTTTCTTTCGCTATCGGAAGCGAATTATAATAACG